TTCGGGGACGATGTCGGCGACGGCGGCCGCGGCGCAGAGCGCGAGGAGCATCGATTGGAGCTTCATGGTCGGTGGTCGGTGGAAAAATGAGGAATGAGACGACGGGTGCGATCGGGAGGTTTGTGGGTCAAGGCACCGAACCGAACGTTGGAGGCAAAACGTTATGGTCGTACGGGTACGGGTGGGCGTCATGCCGTGCCGAGTAGCCACGAGGACAGTTTATGGATGAATTGCACTTAAACAGTTTATGGGATCATAATGCTTGCCTAGATATCGAGAATAATACTGGATTATCAGGTGCAGGGATCTGAGATCCAGGATCAGATACTCAGATTATTTGGGATGGCGTATCAGACGCCTGTCATCACGCACCGGAAAGTACGTCGTCCAGTTGTACGCGTCAACCAAATGGCAGAGCCTGCAAGAGATCGCGGCGCTCGATTTTTTGCGGGCTTTTCAGTGCCAATGTGGTCTACCACTAGATAATGTGAACGACACACCGCTGGTCATCGATGAGACTCTATGACAAAAGACGATATCCTCCATGTGTACCGGTAGCTCGCTGCCTTGGCAGTTTTCGGCTTTCACATACGCGGTGCTAGTTTGCAAGCACCTTTGAGCACTCTGGTGGCAAAGGAGGCAAGCTAGGTGGCGGCGTGAATGGGTGTAAAAGCTGCTGCGTAGTCGTGCCGGAGTATTCTCATCTGAGTCGAGCTCAGATGTAATCAGTTACTATAGGCGATTACACCGGAACCCAGATCATGTACACTCGCCGACTTCTTGTATTTTAGTAGAGCCTACCGTTTCCATCGCTTGGCGTGGGCTACAAACTCACGGTACGCTCACATTGTACAGAATCATTCCACAGCTTGACTTTCGTGGTTTTTATGGCTCGTGGATGGATGTCAAAAGCACCGCCACGTCTTTGAGAGGCCCCCAAACACCCTTGAGTAATTTGCGCACACTGCAGGATTCGGAGTGGCTACAGAGACTCCTCGTTGTAACGCGCAACTCATGCATCGCACAATGGTCATACGGAGTCTCAGCAATGACTACCCAAAGCCTCTTAACACGCCAGATGCAATCCAGCACAGCACAGCCATCTGAGCCGAGTCAGATTCAAAATGCTGGGACCGAAATCTGGCATACAAGGTGTCCCTTTCTGTCTTGATGATGCCGTGACCGATGCTCGCTTGCTGTAAGTACCACAAGTCTAGGTCGCTTCGAAAGCTGTTTTCTGGCGAGTGTCTGAGTAGGATGTAGGATCTGCAGCTCAATCCTAGATTCGCGATGAGTAGCTTCAATTTCAGATAATAGATATCGATATACAGCCCCACGCGCACGTGCCGCCGAAGCTGCTATCTTTGCAATCCTGGACGCCACCCTACCGCCTCATTTCGAAAGTCTGATTTGGCAAAACCTCCCGATCGCACCCGTCGTCTCATTCCTCATTTTCCACCGACCACCGACCATGAAGCTCCAATCGATGCTCCTCGCGCTCTGCGCCGCGGCCGCCGTCGCCGACATCGTCCCCGAAGGCGGCAGTCCCGAGATTGTCGGCGGCACCGAAG